AGTATTATCACTATTTGTTTTGATTTCCAGAAGGGCACTTAGCAGCATTATTGACTTCTTTCTCTTTTCTGGAACCTATTTTGAATCTACCTTCAAGTATTGTATTTTCTTCCTCTGAGATATTTTTCTTTTTATCATTGCGTCATCATTTTAGACCTGTCCCTTATGTTTTTTAGTACTTCCTGATTTCTACCTATTTTCCAACTTATCCTGAAATTTGCTGCCAGTTAAATCTGCACCCCCAACAACAACAAAAAATCAAACCCATTGCTGTCGAGTTGATTCTGACTCATAGTGACCCTATAAGAAGGACAGAGTAGAACTGCCTCATAGAGCGTCCAAGGAGCAGCTGGCGAATTCGAACTGCCGACCTTTTGGTTAGCAGCCTGATCGCTTAACCACTGTGTCACCAGGGCTCCAGTCAAATCTTAAAACTGCTTTTGTTATGCTGTGTGACCTTAAACAAGTCACTTCCCCTCTTGGGGTCTCAAATTCCTGATCGGTAAAATAACAGGCTTAGATTAGATGCTTTCTGATCAAGCATTCTATGATACTGTCACTTAAATATTCCAGAAGCATTCAAGACCCCTTAGTCTAGTGTTCCCCTTCTAATCAAAAGTATTGCTCAGTTTTCCCAGCAGGAATCTTGTCTGTTAATGAATGAGTTTTCCCCACTCTTCCTTGATGGTATTGTGTCTGTCTTCACTTTAGGACATTTGCCCAGGCTTTTTCCTCTCACCAGAATGCCTTTGCTCAACTTATCAGCTCTATAGGTCCAGCCCAAATTCAGCCTCTTCCATAAATCTGTCCCTAATCCTCCAACCCTAATTGATCTTTATTGAACTCAACTCAGATTTTACTCTCAAGGATATGCTGTCTTGTTTAATATGTCATTTTTCTTTTTCTTTTTGTTTGGCCCAACTAGTTTGTAATTTCTATAATTCGGGGACCATAAACAGTTTACACTCCCACCAACACAATAAGACAGTTTTTGTTTCCCTTACAGATGTTGGCAAGCGATGGATGTAAAGTGGTAGCAATTGTTACTTTGACTTGTTTTGCTCTCATTACTAGTGGAGCTGGGCATCTTTTCATAGATTTCTCCCTTTGTGAATTGCTGACTCATATCTTTTGTCCATTTAAAAAAATTACATTTTTGGTTTTTCTTGTGAATTTGCTGGGATTTCTTATACATTCTATATAGTAATCTTATGTCAGTATAGCTATTGCAAATGCCTTCCGCTTGGCTGCCAATCAATTCAAATTTGTATACAGTTCCTTTCCTGAATAGAATTATTTAATTTTGACAGTCAAAACCCTTTTAACTTGTGCTTTTATGATCTTAAGAAAACTTTTCCAACTCCAGGGTAGTAGCGTTATAATTTTTGCTGGGATATAAAGTGATAAGGTAGTGCTTCATTTTCTCAATGAGAAGAATTTAAGTTTTTTGACCAACTTCAATATATAAAGCATAAGGAATATAGAAGTTATAGAGAAATAGTCAAAGGTCTGCTAACAATTTTTATTTAGTTAGTAATTCACAAATTTAAAATCACGTATTTTATAATGTAATATATTAGTTTAGACGTATTGCTGTGTCTACTCCCACATTTTATAAAGTAATTTTATCCTAATTCTTCTTATGTATTTATTAACTGAGATTATTTTAGGAGAGTGTGTCATTCTCAAACAGCTTTTGAGAGAGTACCCATAATTTGAAAAAAAAAAAAGAAAGACTTGTACATAAGATAGTTCCCTCCTTTCTGATGAGTAATTTTGGGTGAAAAAAAAAAAGCATAGCTTTATCTTTATCTGGCCATATATACATAGTATTCCATTATACTTACCTCTATTAGTG